ATCCAAATTAGTGAAATTACTGAAGAATACCTCATCACATACTTTCCTCAACTTTCTCGGCAATCAAACAAAGGAGAGAGAAAGAAATTAACACGAAAGAAAAAAAAAAAAAGAGAAATACCTACAATCCAACATCGGGACATTACAATTCGAAGCCCACTCTTCGCTAAGTAACGCCCCACAAGTTCGTCACGTATCTACCGTCGCAAACAAAGCGCACAGATAAATCCTCTTTTAAAGGAGAAACAAAGCACTGAAAAGGGGTAACAGAAACTGCAGTGGGAGCTGTATAGTCCATCGGCGATGCCAGGGAATCGGAGAGAGCAGCGTCGTTGTCCACGTGCGATCCATTCCATCGCAAATATTTTACCCAAAAAAAAAAAAAAGGCCCACAGGATCGGCTCTAGTACATTTGGGGTTTGGGCTCCAACTCCGGACCTGGGAGTGGAAAATATTCAATGGGCTACAGCAAACCGAGCCTGTACATTCTCCAGCTCCTACTTGTACTTTATTGGGCTGGAAAAAAATGGGCCCCCAGAACTAATTTGTCGATGGTCAGGCAATAATATCGGCTAGTTTTATTTTTGAGGAAGGCTATTGAGAGTGATCGGTCTCCAGGCATATTGGTACTAATTACATTTTTATTTTTACTTTTCAAATTTGATATTTTTGTTTTATTTTTAAGTCTTACAATTTAAAATTTTTCATTATTTAAAATATTAAACACTTAAATCTTTTAAATTTTAAATCTTAAAAATTTAATCCTAAGCACATTAAACACTAAATTTTAAAAAATTTAAACCTTAAAACTATAAATTACTAAACTTAAAAAATTTAAATCCTAACATCTTAAACACAACCCTAAAATAATATAAACACTAAATCTAAAAAATCGAAACCCTAACATCCTAAAAATTGATTTTAACCCTAACCACATAAGTTTAAATTGATTTTAACTTAAAAAAATTAAAAGACAAAAATAAATTTAAATTTTTAAAAGTATAGAATAAATAATAAATTTAACATTTAAAAAAGGAAAAAACTATTGGCGCCCCTCTACCGACTTACTAATAGTCGGTCCCTAACATTATCCATTTTAACTATATAGAAAACTACTATAATAACAAAA